ACTGATTATTTCAACACATGAGAAATTGACAGCTCAACAATAAATCATGAGAACATGTAGGCTGTGCACTTTCAGCAGAACACATCTGATTGTGTTATTCCTAAAGAGCTCCTTCAGGAAATGCTTTAAGCAGTCATTCTGTCTGGAACCAGTTATCACTTTTTAGACAATTGTGCAACTGTGCATCTGCAGCTGTTACCTGGATGGGATGAATTTTTAATCAGGACTACATTATGTAAATATTTCTCATTTTTAACCAAATTAATTTAACTACTTTTTAATGTCATAAATTGTATATGGCAGGATTAATTATTATGTAGCCTATGAATGGTAAATTATTAAAAACATTATTTATAATCTTAATAACATTCTAATAATAAAAACATTTATCTTAATACCAAACTATTATCTAAATAATGCTATTTATAATATTAATTAATGATCTAATAATGTCTAAAAATATAATAATTATCTGTCTACCAAGCGCTGATGATGTATGGAATATTGTATTAATAAATATTAATATTTTATCCAAGTAATAAATCATAGGTCTACACATACCCTTTAGCAGCACAGTCCACTGTCCGCAACTGAAAATGCTTTTTGGCAAATTGGGCCGTGCTCCTTGCATAGATACTGGACAGCCTTATATTTGGAGAGCCTCTTGTGTTAATGGGGCGGACGTGAGCTCGACAATTACAAAATAAAACAGGTGCAGATATATTACCCTTCATGGTGCTTGATCTCGAGACTCCGTCGCTATGATACAAAGACGCTAAAATGTAATCACGCGCAAATGAACATTTCTGCTACTTATTGTGAATTTGATTTCTTTTTATTTGCTATTAGTTTTCTCCACACTCTGCCTGCCAGCTGCAGTCACCAATAAAACGTTGTTCCATATTTTTTTTCTATATCGTCATAAATATCATTATCGCAAATATTTTGATATAATTTTGAGGCTATATCGCCCACCCCTACTCCACACTGCAAAATCCTTATGTGTCTAAATCAGCTATGTGCAGGCCTATTTAAAATATGGGACAAATCGTGTCCCTTAATAATTTGATACGGGACGCATCATTTTACCTTTAAATACAGTGAGTGTTCATCTTGAAATATTACTAATGTCATGAAATAAGTAATGATTTGTATAAACACACATATACAGTACAATGTCCTAACGGTAGTGATGGGAGAAACGAAGCATTGAACCAATTGCTTTGAAAAAAGATTCGATAGTTCGAAGCACTTGAAACAGCACCTGCTGGTGACAACGTTGTAAAAGCATCAAGAACTCAGACCAAACTTACAAAACAAATGGAAATATTTTTTTTAGAAATAAATTTTTTTAAAATAAATAATAAACACTTAAATACTGTAAAATATTAGTGCTTGTGTTATAGGTTTTATTTAAGTATAATCAAACCCTTAACACACAATGAACTAAATTAATTATTTAATGATTAATTGATTTATGTAATTTAATTAATTGTTTTCATTAGAGCTGTCTATAAAAACCAGCAGGCAAGAGTGGATTTAATTCTATCCTAAGCTCATTTCGTTATTTTTAAGGTATGATGTGATTTGTAGGTTGAAAGTACCGAATGTTTTTACACATTTGTTTTAAAGTATATAGCCGTCTGTGTTAAAGGGAAGTTATCTTTTGTTTAACCCACAACATCTGGCCCTGACTTCTTTATTTTTTATAGTAAAATTTCGTGGGATTTCATGTCATGTGATTAACTGGGCAACCAGAAGTGGTTCATGGGTTCACTTTGAGATCAACACCCCCTAGTGGTGAACCATCGGAGTTTCGAAACGTTTCAGAAACAGTGTGACGTAACGAAGCTTCGTTTGCTAAAGTGACGTGACCTGGCCGGTTTGATACGTGCTCCGAAACACTGATTCGAAACAAAAGATTCACAAATGTTTCAAAGCTTCGTGAAGCAGTGTTTCGAACGCGCCCATCACTACCTAACGGTGGAAGTTTTTATACTAGCACTAAAAGACCTTATACTTCCTAAAAAATTTTTTTTTAAAAAGTAAAAGGTTTTTTAGTATAGTAAGAATGTAGTAAACTTCCTAAAAAATACTATCAATCCAAGTTTTAAAAAATAATTTTCCACGGCAGTTCTTGTGGTTCTGGCTAAACTGTTCTTTAAACACCTAGCTGTGGCCCTCATAACTGAAGAGAGTAAGGGTGCTTTCACACCTGGCCCGTTGTAACAATAAGCCCGCGAAGCTGTTGTCGTTCCATCCTGACGGATGACAGCTCAGTGGAATCCAGGAAAATAAACCGTGAAACATTGACCAATGAGAGAACAGCTTACTCGCGCGTGACTTGTATTAACAAATTTGGTCCGTTTAGAAACTTTGCCGTGTGAAAGCGAACCGCACCAAGAATAACAAGCAACATTGTAATAATTGTAATCCCTCTGTTATCGTTCCATCCTGACGGATGACATGTGTGACAGCTCAGTGGAATCCCGGAAAATAAACCGTGAAACGTTGACCAATGAGAGAACAGCTTACTCGCGCGTGACTTGTATTAACAAATTTGGTCCGTTTAGAAACTTTGCCGTGTGAAAGCGAACCGCACCAAGAATAACAAGCAACATTGTAATAATTGTAATCCCTGTTTTGGAACAAAGCAATCGATCTACAGGTGTGAAAGCACCCTAATTTTCACCTTTCTCTCCCGATTAGGGTCAGGTGACCCCAGCCTCGGGTCCGTCTCCTGGAGCCACAGCAGCGTCTCTAACAGCAGCCAGCAGCTCCAGCCAACCCCCCCCCTCCGCGCCTCAACCCCCGCCCCACGGCTTCAGCCGCGCCCGCTCTGCTGGGCATCCAGCACGACTCTCTACACTGATGTGATTCGTATTTCTGACTGTGCAGATGAAGGTAATTAGTCAGCAGTTCTCATTGTGAATACTAGGGAAAATATGATTGTTTTAAACTGTATATATTAGTTACGTAACTTTCTATTTATTTGAACTTATTATTTTTTTTATTCTAGATTTCGTAATCATGTGGTAACATTGTCTTTAAAATATTGTGCTCAGTCAGCACTTTTTCGTGTCGTTCATTAGTATCTATTATGTAAGGGCAGACCTCTTTAAATGGGGTTCGCTCGTCGTTCTGTTGTTCATCTGTGTTTGTGGTTGATTACTGTGTCGTGTCATTTTTACGAGTTTCGTATTTTTATATTAGGTGCTACAGACTGACAGAAAATCACCTGTCCGAATTCTCTTGCCATCAAAGTGCTCTTAACAAGAAAATATAATCTCATACTTGATTGCTAATGAAAAGCATAGAAACTTATTACTGTCATACTTTTTTTTGAACTGGACATTGATACCAAAAACTATTTCAGTCCCTTTTGAGTTTAAAACACTTATTTTCAACCCCATTTTACCATTTTTGTTCATTCGGATTGAATTGGGTTTGTTTATAAACCTGTATGACTTGCAGAAATGTGTAAATGATCCTCATTTTCCAACCAGACACTAAGCTGTTGACCGGAGCTGTTTCACTAGTGATGTGCTGTTTGTTCATCAGAATTTAGCATGCAGCGTTACCCTCTTCCACCCTGGATCCTGAGCTGTGGATTGGAGAGCAGTTGATCAGATCATGGTTACGTGAACACCATTTTCCAGTTAAAGGTCTATATTCTGGTTAAACCTTTATTCTGAAAAGAGGTTTACATAATCCACAGCTCTGAATATCACTGTGTACATGTAATGAGCATTATCAGAATAAACTAATTACGTTCTTTCCCCTTTTATTCTCTTCTGGAAGTAATGGGGATATAGAAAACATCGTTTTCATTGATGTTCTTAATATTACACAAGAACGTAATAAATTTGTCATGAGACACTTTTTAAAGAGATTTCTTTGTAGAACGTTAATTTAAAAAGTTGTTTTGCTTCAAGAATATTTTTATATTTAATAGAGTTGGCGTCTCACAGCTGTATAATCCAGCATTACCTTTGTTTGGATGTGCAGATAATCAGTTACGGTGTATTTACGTGACTCAAAATGCTGATTACAACAGACATACACAGCCTTATTCAGATTTCTATTAACCGAAATGTTAATCTGGTTATGATAGCATTATATAATCAGAATAAGACTGATTAATACTGGAATATTCTTGTGCATGCAAACAGTCACTGTGTAAACACTTTTCACTTCTGTATGATTTTAATCATTCATAATTTGTCTTATTTTCTGGGTAGCTCCTTAGGAGTTTTTTGAAGTCTTAACTAGATTTGTTTTTATATGTATAGCTGTGCTCCTGGCACTTATTAAATTATTATTATTATTGTACTGGTATGATTATTGAATCAGAAAAAGTGCCGTTTCTACTGTATGCAGTTTGGCTGTATATTGAAAATTGCTTAATGTCTCACAGTACAAAACCATTTTTTGACGATATTAAGCAAGTTTTCTTATTTTTAATTTTATGGGTAAGGGTGATACTCCTGTTTAGTATCTCCGTTTTTAAAAAAATTTTTTTTATATATATATATATATACACAACCTTGTTGAAATATTTTAAGAGCAGGTTGTAGGCAGCTCAGAGTGTGGTGGCATTAACATGTAAAATAATGAAGTCTCTTCTCTAAATGTGTGCCTAAAGCATGTTCATATGTGAAGTGTCATGTGCTTGTCATATTAAAACACGTTTGAACAGACTCTTAATTTCATTTTCATTTCATCTAGCGTTTGTACACTGGAGTGTTTGCTTAACGTGTTCTTTACTATTTTAGCTTAAAGAGGCACTAAAGTGTGTCTCAGCTCTTAAGCGTATTCTATTTCTGGAATATTTGATTTAGTTTCGCTTAACTTCCTGCAGTGCGCTTTCATTAGCTCACGCTGACGTTGCGTGGTAACTCCTGTGACGCTCCCTAATTAATATTCATGAGCCACGCCTTCGCCGTGCTAGGATTGGTCGTTCCGTTTTCCGTTCCCACTTTAATCGCGTGGCAGCGCGCCCGAAATGAGCGTGATGTACTATGTGCGTCTGCGCTGCGCACTGAGCCGAGCAGCTGTCAAGTGATAGATTTAGGATTATATCAGCTGAACGCTCAACCACATCAGTCCAAATGAGCTGTTAAAGCCGTCAACCCTCAGGTATGTAGCCCCATGCATTTTAAAATAAATAGTGGGATTATATGACAGTGTACTGCTGATAGTTTAAAGCGAAAGTAAATGTTTAAATGTGGACTACATGGTTAATTGAGTAGCCGACTGTGTTTCACGATAACCTGTGCTCGGGTGGTGAGTGCACGCACTTTATAAAGGCATGTAATGGTGAACTGCTGGAGTTGAGTTTAGATTGATAGTGTCATGCTCTTGCACTGGGGATTCCCCATGTGTTTGCTCTCTCTCTCTCTCTCTCTCTCTCTCTCTCTCTCTCTCTCTCT